CCATCTGCTCACCAAGTGATGATGCCATTTAAAGCTGGACCTTTGTTGCAGTCCTTGATGCTTCCTCACGAGGTCTTCTCCAAGCTATATCACCAGTATCCTGAGTACTGGAGGTCCTGCTTCTTACCTGGTGGAGACAAGGAGCTAGCTGCTTTCTGGAAGGGCTTTGCAGGCCACCCAAGCATGGCTGATGGCATTTTTCAAAGCAGACCGAGCTATCGCACAACCCTGATACCACTTGGTATCCATGGTGATGGAGTACCGACAACAGGACTAGGCAAAGTCTGGTGCAAGCTCATGCAGGTCTACAGCTGGCATGGGCTTCTTTGCCAAGGTGGAGCCAAAGCAACTCTTTTCTTGATGTGGGCCTCTTTCGAGCAGCTCTTTCTTGCAGGCAATGAGGGCACACTGCAGTGCTTCTTCTCCATAATGAAGTGGAGCTTCCAGGCCCTCCTGGCAGGTACTTGGCCTGACAAAGACTTTCGAGGCAATGCCTACCCGCCGAACTCTGTTTTGGGCAAGAAAGCTGGGACAAGACTGGCTGGCAAATATGCTGGTGCTCTGGTAGCCATACAGGGCGACATGGAGTTTTTTGCAAGCTCTTTGGGTCTCCCAAGGTGGAGCAGCAACCACAACTGCTGCATCCTTTGTTCCTGGACAGCTTCAGAGAAACACATTTTCTGTTTTAAGTGATCCCAAGAAATACTTTTCTCTTTTGCACTAAAGACCTTGAAGTTGTAAGTTTTTCTGCTAACAAAAGACTCTGGAACAACATCTCAGGCAAATGCACAGGCCTTGCTGATGAGAATTCCTGGCGAAATTTCTCTGAGACAGCTGGCTGGAGAACCACTTGCTGGACACCTGCAGCCTGGAAAGCCTGGGAACACAGATCTCTTTGCCCCTTGTTCGAGATCGAAGGTGTCTCCGCTTGCAATGTGGCTCTCGACCTCATGCACTGCAAGTATTTGGGAAGTGACATGTATGCCATGGGAGGAATATGGTATTACATGTGCTTCTACCTGCTGCCACAGTCCCCTGCACAGAACCTGGCAAGGTTGTGGTCAGAGCTGCAGCTGCTGTACAAGGAGCTCAATGTGGAACATCGATACCAGTATTTCAACCGGTTGCAGATGTTCTGCAGGAGGAGTGGACCTCCCAAGCTCAGGGGCAGAGCTGCAGAGGTGAGAGGCATGATTTTGCCTCTCATGCACTTGTGGCAGAGGTACCACAATCCTGCCTTATTGCTGCATCGCCAGATTCTGGTCATGCTGAAGAAGAATGTGGAGTTCGAGTCCATCCTGGCGGACTACAAAGGCTCCACTTTCTTTCCAGCAGATGCAGCACAGAGGTTCAAGCAGGCGGCCTTTGCCATGGCACACTTGAACAGCTTGGTTGCCAGCCACTTTCACCAGGAGGAAGACTGTCGTTGGTTGTGCCACACAACAGCAAAGCTGCACATGGTGCTCCACATTGCTTCTTTGGCAGAGACAATTTCGCCAAGGCTTCTGTGGTGCTTTTCTGGAGAGGACTTCATGAAGACAGCTCGTGCTCTGGCTAAGAACTCGGTCACTGGAACAAAGCCGAGTATGGCCTGCAACAAGATGCTGGAACACTGGAGGATCGGGATGCACCTTCACCTGGAAGCCTTGAAGTGAGCAGCAAAAAGGACACAATTTGCATGCAGCCTAGTGCATGCAGCATGTTTATT